GCTGTAGTAATTTTGTTTTGAGGAGGAAGAAAGAAGTTTAGATATCTAAGAGTCCATATAAATGCTCTGAATGAAATCCTGCTGAAGAGTCTTCTGACAAACAGATGGAAAAAGCAGCAGAGGTAAGCATGCTGCTGTAAACAACACACTAATTTTGGGTACCATATTTTTGTTGGAACTAAAAATCAGATTCTTTGACACCTGTAAAGCTCTCAAAATTGGGGAGATTAAAATGAACTAGCAATAAGTCAATAAAGACAAATAGCTTGATAGACTATTTAAAACAACATTTACAGCTTCATGAACTTGTCATCACCCTTCAGCTGGTGCCATTTCAAGTGCAGAACACACCAGTATCACTGAGACTCTTCTAAAGTATTTCAACCAAAGCATTACATGATCAAAACACTATCAGAGCAACAAAAAACATTATCTAGCTGGTGGAACATTCTGAACAGGAAGTACTCGTTACAGTTTCTTTTGTTCTAGAAGTAGGAGCACTGAAATAAGTAGCAGAGATAGACAACCTGACTTAGCCATACAACATGGGTAGCAGTAAGGCCATCTTCAATCAGTTTTTTTAATACAGAATGTTCTGTCACACACCTGGAAAGGAGGAATGACTAGAACTGAAAGTATGCGTGGAAGCGTTTTCCATCTGGAAATCAAAGCAACGGTGTATTTTATCCAAAGTGTAAGACTGTTCTCGTTCTAAGGCTGTGTTTTTACTCTTATAATGCCTTCTGCATTGTAAGCTGAAATACATTGAAATATATGGCAAGTTATAAATATGCAATCAGACAGGACAGAATTTGGCCCTTCTGGATCCTCATCCTTTCAGCTACAAACCTATCTTTCTATCAAAGAGCTAGAGTGTGAGAATGAGTCCTGAGATGCCTGTGAGGGCCCTCTTCTTGTTCCAACAGCCAGATGACAAGAAAGGTTCAGATAGTGACATCACTGTAATGGTGAATGTGAATGGGACAACCAAAACTGTTTCAGGGGGTGTTTGTCCAAGACTGATAATGCTAAAGATAAAGAATCAGATGGATTAAATGGTAATCAGACAATTAAAAGAAACTTCGGTGGATAAAAAAATCCCCCTAAAAAGCAATATAAAAGCAGCAAAAAAATTTGCAGCAGTGGGAATGGCAGTTGTTGACGCCGGGCAGACAAAGTAGCCTCACTGCAGGGCATTGCTGGGCACTTTCACCCCCCTTCTGTAAAGGACACAGGGGAGGGAACCCCCATTGGCATGGGCCTATGGGACCTTGCAGGGGGCTTAGTGGTCTGGGCTGCAAGGCTGAAACAGGCGAAAGTGAAACAAACTGCACGCTGGGGTTCATTATTCCATGAGCGTGGTCATCCTGTGGAAAGCATGTATATACTATCAAAAGATTATGCCAGCTCTGCACATTGCTTTGATGTGTTGTGATACTAAGAATATATAGGCATAGCCAAGGTAACAACTCAAAAGCAAATGGCTTCTTATTGTAAAAAGACTGAAAAGGGGATGTGTAACAGTTAGCAATTTAATCAAATTGACTGACAAGAGAAAATTGCAATTATGGAGAATTCAGCAGAATCGCCGGCTTTTGGTGACAGTTGCGACCTTGGCTGACATCAAAGTAAATTTTAGCACTGGGTCTCAAACTGGGCTACACTAGGAGAAACCTACTGGCTACTTCCAAGTTTGGTACTGATCTTCAGCAACCCCTGAGGAAACCTGTCTGTCCTTCCCTGACCTCCACCTTACATGAAGTCTTACAGAACTTCAGACTTGCAGCAATTCCTTTTGGTGATACCAAGAAGACCTGGTAAAGCTGAACCAGAATAGCAGTGACATCAGAACCCTGCTGCTTTCCCTCAGCACAGATATTGACTTCAGAAACTTCCTACAATTTTCCCTGGAAAAATCTCTGAGTAGTAACCAAAGGTACTACCTTGGAAGACCTTTTACCTATGTTCAGCTTGTTACTGAGCTATCAACCAGCTTCTGCTGACTATCCAGCAAGTGTCTGACCCATTCCAAAGATCTCTGGCAGTAGTGAGGGACACGCCATTGAAAGCAGTGACCTCCTTTCAAGTGGAAATAACATTGGAAATAATGAAGTGGAAAATCAGTAATTTTGAGAGTGTGTATTTCAATATTCTATTGAAAGCAGAAAAAGACCTTCAAGTACAGAAATGCTGTGTCTCAAAAGTTTTTATGTTGGAGATTATGAAAATGCTATGAATCCATGAAAATAGCTGTGCAAGGTATTGCAAAAGATGTGACTTTTTATTCAAAACAGGAACAAACTGAAGTCTCTATTTTCAGTTTAAGTATGAAAACCTTTGGACTTCAAAATCAAAAGTATTTACTGGCTTTCCTGACTTCCCTTCTTCATAAAATAAAAGTATGAGTATATGGACAAACAGTAGAATAGAAAAGCGTCCATCGAACATCACACTTCCTGATATATCCTCTGCAGCCATACCTGATTATGAAAGATACGCATTTTTTTTAGCAGTCTGCTCAGTGATGGCAAGTACTTTGTCTGTTTTGGTATTCAGAATTCAAGAGGGCCTTTCATGGCAGCTGGAAGATCAATGAGAGTATTTTACACTCCCCTACTCTCAATGGCACATAAAGGCTAATGCGCTCATGTAGAAGATTTTAAAACATCTCCCAAATATGACTATCATAATAGACTAGTATTGGGCCATTTTTATAAGCTCCAGAGAAAAGCTTAAAATCTCTCAAAACCCCCTGCTGGTGGCAATCAGCGTATCCATGGCAAATGCAGAATAGATAGCAGGGGCTATCTACTGCCTTTAAAAACAGTGTGCTCCCACAGATCTTCATCAATACATGTCAGAGTCTTCCTAAAGAAGAGAAGAAAACCTCTAGAAACGAAGGAGGAAGTGGTTTATGTTGTGGCCCTAGTAAGCAGTGCTGCTATAGTTTCTCTGGCTTCTTCCTTTATAACACGTACTGAAGAAGTTTTCTGTTGTTTTCCCAGCATCTTTCAGACTTGAAAACTTCCCAAAATGCATATCTCCAATTTTAAAATATGGTCTTGGGTGATAACCAATTTTGTTTCATTGTTATAAGGTCAATAGGGTATAATGACATATTCTTGCTTCTATGCAACATTATTCCCAAGGTTAGGTTTGCCTGCCTACATACCCAAACAAAACAGAAATTGGCTTTTAGACAGGTAAGACTGATCTGCGTTAGAGCTAAGTTGTATCATCACACAAACAAGAGTATAGCAGAATGTCCTAGGGTGATGTTATGGTGCTTGTATCCCCAATCGTGTGTTCTGTTTGTGCTTGGTATTATGTTCTGTGCTTTCAGGACTGACTCTGAAAGTGAAGGTTTGTTTTCTCTTGTTATCAGCCGGCTCATTTCCCCCATGGTCTGTGTTTAGGAGAGGCTAGGCTTGCTTGCTTCACTTTGCTCTCGCTCCTACTTTTTGTTTTTGCTCTTGCTTTTGCTTATTAGTTAGTTTGGCTAGGCAGTCCGATTTTTTCCCTGGACTGTTTCTTTTCTCTCCCTTTCCTGGATACCATCTGAATCTGTCCCGGACAGGGACCTGGGAAACACCAAGAAACACCAGGAGTCTGCATTTTGTGAACTGCAGCAGTCATCCCCAGAGCCAGAGACCAATAACTGGGCGATCACTCGCCTGAGAGACTTTCTGAGTTTGTCATCCATTCAGAGCAGTGAAAGAGTTTTTATCATCTGGTGTTGCTCTTTTTTTTTTTTTTTTTTTTTTTTTTTTTGTGCTGGGGAGTGTTTTGCTTGTTAAATAAACAGGTTTTTTTCCACTTCACTCTGAGGAAATTCTTCCCAAACCAGGTGGTGGGGGAGGAGTTGTGGGGGTTTGCTTTCTGGGGGCTCCTTCTGGAGGTTTTCCCCCAAATTTGCCCTAAACCAGGACACAGAAAAAGGAGAGAGGGAATACTCATCTGGAGTTGGGAGGAAGTCAGATCAGATGAGACCAGATGTTTTCAATAGGTTTGCGAATTTAGAATTTATAGAAGTCTGCTGTGTAACTGCATCTGAACAATGCCTTTATTTGAAAAATATACCCAGAACAGGAGCTTCGTTAATGAAAAACCTTTAGCTAAGATCTTACTGCTACAAGAAACTTGGTTTACACATGACCTTTTCTCTTATTTATCAAAAATATCATGACTATTTCCACTTTCCGGTCCACTTTTCTATATCTACTTCATGGATAATTGTATGCTTTCCTTGGCATAATTTATTATCTTATTGAGACAGCACTCTCTATCAGCAGTGTTAGAATCAAACAACACAGCTGGTTATATCCCAGGGGAGAATTCTCCTTTTCTTCAATTTTGTAATTTATTTAGCTTTTCTAACTGATGACACAGCAATACAGTGTGGACTCCACACTCCTATTATTTTTGCCAAGTCAAAACCACTCTAGTGGTTAGTATAGCCGATCCTGTATTGCTGTGATTTAAAAACAATCCTGGAATCAAGAAAACACTTGGAACTCACATGATCACTGATCCACCATAAGTTAAACAGCATCACCATTTTTTCCTATGTTTCTAATTGATGGTTGGCATATTTTAAGACACTGATTTTGGTTTTCAATCTTTTAAATTTCTGGCAGTTGAAGAGGAACTGTCAGTGTGATTTCAGCAGTCAAGAAGGAGTTAACTATCTTTACTGCTTATATCCATATCTGTTTCTCCAGCCTGTACAAAGCTGAACTGCTGCTGTGTAAAAGTTATTGACATCTGTTTGGAAGGTTCCCTGAGCTCCAACACAACTATTTGCTACAAGCTTTTTTGTCATATACATGCTTCCTCCCACCACCCATTTACACAGACCTTTTGCAGCAATGTTACCAGTTATGAAGGCTTGCAGATTAACATTTTTCTTCAGGGGATCAAATCACTCTTTTCATGTGTGTAAGAATCATAGCGGGGTGGCGGGGGGGAGGGAGTCTCCTTAAAATGAAATGCCTCAGCACTTCAAAGTTCTGTATCCCTAAATTCTATTTGAAAATTGTTAACTTCAGCAGAGTGGCTCTAGAATTTCAAGCTGCTTTCTGTAACTAATGGGTCCCTATACTGTCATGCCTGTGCATTTAGCGATCACACTGGAACAGGTCACCCAGAGATTGTGAATTCTCCCTCACCGGAGATATTCAGGAACCATCTGGACACAATCTTTCCTGTGCCATGTGCTTTGCCTGCTTGAGCAGGGAGGCTGAACCAGATGACCCACCGTGGTCTCTTCCAATATGACCCATTCTGTGATCAGCAAAGTACTAACATAATGACAGCAGTCTGGGACAGCACCACTCAGATACAAAAACCTGGTGAGGGGCAGCTAGAATCAATACCAGAAGTTCTGTGTAATCAATTTATATTCACAGGTCAAGCTCAAATTTGCATGGGGCCTAGTACTTGCTAAAAAGCCAGCGTCTCTAAGAACAAGTTAAAATTAGTAACAAGAGACCCAATGAACATGCAGTGGCAGTGCAAGCATGCTTCACTGGTTCTAACATGGATGTGAAAAAACCTTAAACCATCAACCAGAAGTACTGAGGAAAAACCCATCATTCACCTCTTATGAGAATGAATAGCTGGGGACAGGGGACACAAGCTTTGTTTTCTCAAAATCTGCCTCCATGTTGCTTATGTGTACATAAAGCGTAATCACTGATACCTGTACTACTACTGAGTGCCCCTGTTTCTTGAAATCTCAACCAACCCTTCCCATTTGCTCTTTTTACCTTGGACATTAATTTGGTGGCAATCTGCTCTGGCTGAAATAGAATTTTGTTACAGTGAAATTAGCTTTCTTCAACATCAGTTTTACAAAGTGATGCAAGCCTGCAATAAGTGCATGCACGATTTCACTGAAGCACGGCAGCTAGGTAATACCGTATTTCCCCGACCTTAACCCACCAGGCTGAGCAACTGAATTCCAGTATATTTTCTTTCTTTCCCTTTTTAACAATGTACTCCCTTATTCTAAAGCATGAAGTCATGATGATGATTCAGGCTGCCAGACTAAAAACACAAATAAAATTGTGATGTGTTGTCACTTGAGGTTAGTGCCCGAGTTTGTTTCCACCTTCTCTGTGTTGCATGCTCTCTAATTTCTGTGCAGGTGTGCAGCATTAGGTTTCATAGCCAGATGTATTCTTTGTCACGGGAAAAACAACTGCTTGCACTGCATCCTGCAGTCACTTACCTGATGTGTCCAGCAACCAACCCAATTCCGTCATTACCAACTTCCTCTTTTAGGCCTAAAAAACCCCTCCATAAATTGTGCCGGATGCTCCCGCCTTTTGGCTTCTCCCGCAAACAACACTGGGTTGGGCCTGTTTCCTTCCCCTGTGACCCGCCAGATTCGACCCACTCTCTCTACCAGGGATACACCAGTACGCCTGCCCACAGCGCAGCACAGCGCCGCGGCCCCGGGGCGGTGGCCCGGACACGGCTGCCCACAGCCCTGGCCGGGGGCGGTGCCGCGCGTGCGGAGCCGCGCTGTGCGGCAGGGGCGGGGCGGCGCAGGCGCGGAGCAGCGGCCGGAACCGAGGTGAGGCAGGCGGGCGCGGGCGGAGGCGCGGGCGCGGGCGCGGCGCCGGGCTGGGGTGGTGGGGCTGCGTTGGTGCTGCGTTGGTGCTGCGTTGGTGCTCGGGGCAGTGTTAGCGGCCCCTCCGCTTTGCGGGGGAAGGAGTGGGGCAAGGAGCGGGGCCATTCTGCAGCTGCCTCTCCGCCGCCTCCCGAGCGGCTCAGACCAGACCTGGACGGTGCGACACGGGCCTGATCCGTGCTGGGAACGCGGAGGTGCTGCCGCCGCCGAGGTGGCAGTAGCCGTGCGTTTGGAGACGCGGTGGTGAAACGACCCTGCGATCAGTCCGTGGGTTAGAGGAGTCAGTGAGCGTGGCTGGCGTCCTGTCTTCCCTGAAAATCGTAAAGTCACGGTGTCAGATGGTCAAGTCAGATGGCGTCGGCTTCCTTGGCTGGCGCTTGGGCGGGGTACCGGCTGCCTCCTGAGAAGGAGCCGGAGCGAAAGAGGTTTTACACTTCTGTTGTGAGGTAATAAGTAAAAAAGGAAGAAGAAGTTCAGATGCAGAGCTCTGACGAGTTAAAGCTGCGGTAGTGAGGTGTGTGTTCCTGCTCCATTGGTCCCATGTGGGATTCCCTGCTGCTGTCATGTGGAGTGCTGCAGGCAGAAAGGAGAGGAAAGTTGCCAACTGCTCATGAAAGGTTTTGCTCAATGAGTGGGTTCTAGCTGTTAGAGTTTTCTATCCTTGATTGAATTTGTTTGCAAACCTTTTTTATTTCATATCTTCCTGTGACTCTAGCATAACTTTTAGGGAAGATGAAACTTCCTGTTATGTTCTGTAGTGTCATCAGACTGGGGAAGCTGTAGAGTTGGTGGAAACTGTTAGGGAAAATGTTCAGGAACTGTGTCCACACAAGATAACAAGTTATCTGGCAATATATTCTATAAAGTGCTGAGCACCTGTCTTGTATCATAACACCCTGTGTGTAATACCCCCAAGCTGTATGTTGTGTAGGTTCAGCATACTTCTCTAGTGAGTGAAGGGCATTTGAGGTCTGACTAATGATTGTAAAGCATGCCACTTTGTTATGTGAAACATACATATGTATATATACAAACTTCCTTCCTGAAGGAAGTCTATGGTGAAACGTCGGGTGAAGAAGCAGGTTACCTCTTGGAAGTGTCATTTGGAAAGAAAAGAATTGTGAAAAGGCTTTGGTTGGGAGAGACCTTAAAGATGATGTAGTTCCAGCACCCCCTGCTCTGGGCAGGCGTGCCGTCTCACAAAATCAAGTTGCTTAATGCTCCATCCAGCCTGGCCTTGAGCATTTCCAGGGACTGGGTATCCACTACTCTGGGCAACTTGTTCTAGTGCATCGTCACAGAAACATCTAGTCCTAACATCTAATTTAAATATGTCCTGTCTTGATTTAAAACAAGTCCTATCCCTACCTACCCATGTAAAAAGAAGATTTTTGTGTGGTTGCTCACAATTGTGATGGCTGCTCTAACTTTTTCTTTCCTACAAAACTTTTTTTTTTTTAGGTAATGTAAGCATTTCAGTTAGACAAGAGAGAGAAAACAGGCATGTCAGCTCTTTGTCCACCACCGTCTCCTGCAGTTGCTAAGACAGAGATCTCTTTGAATGGCGAGTCGCCATTATTAGCTGCCACTTTTGCTTACTGGGACAATATTCTTGGCCCCCGAGTACGCCATATCTGGGCTCCAAAGACAGAACAGGTACTTCTCAGTGATGGTGAAATAACTTTTCTTGCTAACCACACTCTGAATGGAGAAATACTTCGCAATGCAGAAAGTGGTGCAATAGATGTGAAGTTCTTTGTTTTGGCTGAAAAAAGGGTAATCATTGTGTCATTAATCTTTGATGGCAACTGGAATGGAGACAGAAGCACATATGGACTATCAATTATACTTCCACAAAGTGAACTTGGTTTCTACCTGCCACTTCACAGAGTGTGTGTGGATAGATTAACACATATTATAAGGAAAGGAAGGATATGGATGCATAAGGTAAGTTTATTGTTCATTACTTAAAATAATTGTTAGATTGTCTTGTGCAGAAGCAAAAACTGAAATGCTGTGATATCTGTCATGTGGAGTACAGAGACACAAACTCAGAAAAGGCTGGTCTCTATAGAGTTTTGAAGATTAGAGATGATCAGATTATTGTATCAGGAAATTCAAGGCTGAGATTTTTAGTCATGGGATTATCCTGGTGATATTATATAGACTCTACAACACTGTTGTAGTTGAAAGAGGTTTCCTGTACAGTTTTTCATCTCTCTGAATTTCATATAAATTGTTGCTTTTAATTGTGTTAATCTGTGTATTTAAATTAGGTATAATTGTACATTTACTGTGTTTCAAATCATTGATTTCCTTGTTGAGGTCCAGAAAAGGGAACTGATGCAATTAGTCTTTTCATTGCTATTACAGGTTTATTTTTAAAGAAGAGGGTGTTAACAGACAGTTTGACAGGACTTAAACTGTGTAGAGCAGTACAAAAGTGCATCTGCTTTTGTCCAAATGTTTCTACTCCTGAAACTCAAAAAGGAAAACATGCTAAATTTTTCTTAAGCATTGGAACTCTGACCTTTGGGTAAATCATAGATACTCCCTTATTAAGTGAAATATTTTATGTATTTTCCTTGAAACTAAATAACAGTCTAATGGTAAAAATTAATTTTTTTGTCGTCTTCATGGAGTCCAAGCTGACTTAGGACAGTAGAGTGCACATCTGCTGAAATGTATGCACATTTGTCTGGTATCTTCTCTTCTGAGACCTGTAGTCAACATACAGAACATTACAGAAATAACAAGCTGATATTATTTTGTGGTGGTATTTCCTTTTTACTGTATTACCTGATGATGGCTGGTAGGCTTTTCATACTTTCTGGGGTTTCGTTTTCAGAGGAAGGATAGTACATAAAGTTCTTTCTCAATAGAGTGGAAATATTTAATTCCTTATCTAATCTTTTAAAACCCTGCTAGATATTAATGGTTTTGATGTACGTGAATGATGTCTCATGTTCCTGATTACATTGCTTTTTTCATTTAGTGTCCTCTGTACTGACTTCTAATGTGAGTGGTCAAATAAGAATTATCCATTTTTACATTACATTTTCTTAGTTTTTAGATATTGTTCCATACCAGTATGGTTTCACAGTAGAAGTAACCTGCAAGCAGCATTGAGAATGACAAAAAATTTTTTTTCTTTAAGCAGGTAGGTCAGTTGAATTAGCTGAGACAGTGATACATTCTGAATTCTGAAACAGACTTTTTTTTTTTGATGGAGAGCACAGATCCCTGCATATATCTGCAGATCTTCAGTCTTACTTAGAAAAGAGAAAACTTCTTGGAAAGCGTAGATTAAAAGTTATGCATGAGTTATAGAATAATCGTAACACTGATAATGAATTAAAATTGCTTCATTCTGTAGTTTGCATTTTGAAGCAGTTTAGCAGCTATGGTTACATACAGCAAATAAAAAAAATAACCAAGTCCTATCTGAATGGTGTTGTGTGTCTGTTCTGGACGTTTTAATAATTGTGAGTATTAGCTCTCAATAGTTCTTTGTACAGCCAGACAGTGTTTCCAGCTAGACTTGAGATGAGAAGAAGCCATCTGAACTTGAGGATTAGGAGAAACACGGAGCAGTGTTCTGACTGGGAAAGAAAGACAAGCAGCTCTGAGCAAGTCATCAATATGGGGTTATAAACCCTTTCTTCTCCAATTTATGCTCTGTATGTTTGTCTGATAATTTTGAACAAGTATATTTCTGAGAAGTGGCTTACACCATTTTCACCATTTTGTTCAGCCCTTCTTCAAGAAGACTGAGGTTTTTTAAATGATTGCCAAGAATGTCTTCCTTCTCTGACTGAAGAGTCAAGATGCCCTGAAGGAATCTCCTTGTTCTAGTATTGTTTTTCACTGATGTTTCTTTTAGATGGTTAGAAAACTTTTGCTGTTTAAGGGCAAACTACTCTAGCTTATTCCCGATTCATCTGCTCAAAAAAATTCCTTGCAAACTCTTTTCACACTTGAAGCTGATTAACTCTGAGTAGGTCAGTCACAGGAAACTGATGAGTAACCAATAAAAATGCAATAACCTGTCAGCATCTAGCAAAAGATATCATTAGTTCTCCCAGTGCCTGGTATTTTTTGTGACTTGTATTGATGCTCCAGTGATTAACGCCAAATTCCCTTAGTGAATAATAACTTTATTCTATTGTAAGTTCATTTTAAATGCAGTTTACTATTCAGCTGCTGATGAATCTGTTTTCAGAGCTTTGTTCAGCCTCTTGGTTGTGTTTTGTGTACTTTGAGGTTTCATGTCTCCTGTACTTGGTTATAAAACAATGTTTTGAAGACTTGTAAGTGCCTCAAGAGGTGGGGGTAAGAAAAGTCTTTTGTTTCCCACCCTCCCCAGTCAAATAATTGTTCTCGTTCTGAAGATCTTATTTTTCTCTTGTTGCGTCAGAAATTCTCAATCTATACTGTATCCATTTGAAAATAAAAATCCATACATAAAGTGAAATTTTTCACCATAATCTGATCATGTGGCATTTTCTTGATCTGTAATGAAGAAAATGTTTTGACATTGTCATCAAACCCTTCCTTTCCTGCCCAAACATGGGAGATGTGCAATGGAGGGCAGAGCAGGGAGTGTGTGTCTATGTTGCGTGACATCACTTTCTCCTAACGTCAACTTTGTAAAAGAAAAAATACTTGAACATCAAAACTTGAATGTAAGAAGCGTGACTCTGCAGGGAAGAAACTGTACTGAGTGACTGTTGTATATATACATACATGAACAGATGCCAGAGCGTTTATATTTAACTGCTTCTCTTGCTCAGGAGAGGCAAGAACATTTCCAGAAGATTGTCTTGGAAGGCACAGAAAGAATGGAGGATCAGGTAAGGACCGTCTGGTGGATGCATATGGCACGCAATTGCAAAACCATTTGACTGCATCAGATTACTGTAGAAGTTGGTGTTGCTTCTTATTTTTGGGATCCAGGAGAATACATTGGACTGGCTAATAATGTGACGTGCATGGTAGGCAAAGTTTCTGAAGAGAGGGTGATGGAAGCTGTGATCAAGTTGAAGGAAAATACATTTCATCACTTTAGGGATAAAGTTGAAATCTATGAAGAATATTACTTTTCAGAAAAGGAAATTCATTAACTTGAACTTGAAGTTCTCTAAAGTTTGCAGCTTCCATAGAGTCATGCCAGCCTCCTGTCAAGGTTTTTTTTTCCATTAGGTTAGGTCACCTTTTAGAATTACAGAGATACAGCATCTGTCAGTTGAAATGTGCTTGGAGACTTAATGGATGAGACTGTGAAAATAATTTGATTTTTTGAAAATATAAATGTGAGATTGTGGCTTCATTTTCTTGTGGTAGGTAAGTCAGGAAAGTATTTTTGTATGTTAATAAGTAATATACCTGATTTTGGTTTCCGGTCATTGTTAAAACATCAGACTTGAACATAAAATGCTTAACATTGCTTAACATATGATTGCACGTAACATAGTATGATCCTCACGTTGAATACTTGTGGTCTAGGCCAATCAAAACTGATGCTGAAAATTAGCATAAGACCCAGAAGTACCTTTTAGGCATTATGTTGAGAAGCTAAATATATGTTTGCAGTTTATAACTATTGATGAGCAAAGCCAAAGATGTCTATGCATCAATTTCTGCTCATTCTACCCTTCCAAGCAATGGAAAGTTAGGATGTTTTGTATGTAATACTGCATCTTCATGTTAGTAGTAATTTCTGATACTGCCCAATGTGCTTTTACTTCAACCATCTTATTTGTTGTGCAGGGTCAGAGCATCATTCCAATGCTGACAGGAGAAGTCATTCCTGTAATGGAACTCCTTTCATCTATGAAATCACACAGTGTTCCAGAACAAATAGATGTAAGCTCTTGTTTTATTTGTATTCTAAATTTTTTAAAAGTGATTTTCTCCCTCTGGATGAAACATAGCTTTGGGCCTTTACTTTGGTACTCACTTTGCCAGAGAAAATGCCCATTTTCTTAAATTATTGCATACTTCTATTGCTTCACATCAAGTTCTCCTAAGTGGTGTAAGGAATGGCAGTATTTTTTGATAGTCATCACATAGCAAAATTGGCTGCATAGGGTGATGTCATTGTGCGAGTGGAAAGGCAGTTTGATGCAAATCAGAATGAATGGGCAGATTAATGGATTTGGTGTTGATACCTGTTTCAGCATGTTACAGTGTTCTCATGGAAGAAGTAGAAGTAATATGACATGCACTAATCTAAAGTATTCTGACATTTTTTACAGAAAAAAAACACTAGGAGGAACCTGACTTGTGACTGGTGAAGGCTTAATAATAAAGTGACTTTCTCATTTTCAAAATGTTTTGTCTGAAGTCAGGTCTTTTTAAGATTATGCTTTTTGGGGAAGCCTTGCAACTTAACTTAGTTTCCAATGTATCAAAGCGAAAACCAGTTAATTGGAAGGTGATCAGATTCTTGTCTAACTTTTTGTTTATATTTACTTGCATTTCAGATAAGTGACACAGTGCTAAATGATGATGACATTGGGGATAGTTGCCATGAAGGCTTTCTCCTCAAGTATGAAATTAAATTTTGATTTATGCTGTAGTAAAATGATTTAAGGTTGTTTGTACATCTAAATGTAACTATCTGCATGTGCATGTGAACATGGATTGGAATGTTTTATAGAGGGGGAACAATAACATGTATTTGGTTGTTTGAGATTTTTGTCAATAAAATATTATAAAGTTTCTGTCATTTTAGAAGAATGGTTTTGGGCTAATACACCTCTGTAGACACTGCTGTCAGAGGATCATTTGTTTGATAATAGAATTCCTATCAAAGGCATGTTTTTCTTTGATACCTACATTTAATTTTAGAAGACTCTTAAGTCAAAGTCTTGCATTTTTTGAAATAGCAAAAAAACTGGGCCGTGCATAAACTCTAAATAAGAGTCATTAATGGTGAGGCATGTAGCATGCTTATTGTTAATTTGTGTATTTCTCTTTTTCCCCAGTTTTTAATTTTTAAGTGGAAGTAGTTGAACTTGAGAGCAACTTGGTCTCTTCCTGTGGGACAGTGTATTTCATAGGTTTTAATTGATGTTCTGTACCTTTCACTGTATCTCCTGCATAACTGCATTCATATATGTAGTGCTTGGTGACATCTATTTATAGACCCTCACATGTGCTTCCAACTGAAGGGACTGTTGATCTTTTGGATTTCAGCAGTAAGTTACGCTGCTGTTTAAAGTCATATGGTTATGGGCCTGTAGGTTGTATTTACACTTGAAGCACTTTATTCTTCTTGAGAAGGTGATAATTGTTTCATTTGAAAAATCTGATTAAATGTATTAACCTATGTCTGTTTTTACTTGCAGTGCAATTAGTTCACACCTGCAGACCTGTGGTTGTTCTGTAGTCATAGGAAGCAGTGCAGAAAAAGTTAATAAGGTAACATGCTTTCTAATAAACTGAACTTAAATGCTGATTATTAGGAATGTAACCTGGAACAAAGTTAATCTATAAACATATTTGAGGCTGAAGAAGGAAGGAGTACTGTTGTCTGGCACTCTTCAGCTGACTGGTCTAGCAGAAGATAATTTTGCCAGAAAATTACCTTTCAGTTGCATTCTGACAACTATAAGAAAAACAGTGTATTTAACTGATGCAGTTCATAAATGAGTAGTAAATGACTGAGCTTTTAAAATTAGGTTTTTTAGCTAAAATACACAAATCGAAGAGATCTGACTGGCTTGCTTATTTCAACTATGTCATAGAATCACAGAATGATCAAAGTTGGAAGAGACCTTTAAGGTTATCCTGTCCAACCATCCACCTTGGCACTGCCACTGTAACCCCTAAACCACTCGACCACAACACTCAGCACTAGATCCAGATGCCTCTTAAACACCTTCAGTTATGGGGACTCCTCCACCTCCCTGGGTAACCTTTTCCAGTGCCTGACAGCTAACAGTGAAAATTTTTTTAAATCATATTTAATATGACTTTCCCCTATCTCATTTTAAGACCATTTCCTCTTGTCCTGTCACTGCAGGCATGGCAGAAAAGACTGGTTCTCACCTCACTGCACCCTCATTTCAGGGAGTTGTAGACAGTGATGAGATCACCTGAGCCGCCTCTTCCAAGATATGTTTTCTAGTCCTTTCATGACTCTTGTTGCCCTTCTCTGGACACACCCCAGCACTTTATTGTCCTTTCTGAAGCAAGATGCCCAGAAAATAAAGACAAGATTTGAGCTGCGGCCTCATGAGAACCAAGTACAGGTTCTCTGCCGTGATCACTGCCGTGGTCCTGTTGACCACAGTATTGCCAGAATTTGCCTTCTTGGCTACCTGGGCCTATTGCTGATTCATTTAAAAGGTGGCTGTCAACCAGCACTTCCAGATCCCTTTCACCTGAACAGCTCTCGAGCCATTCTGCCCCCAGCCTGTAGTGCTGCATGGGGTTGTTGTAACCCAAGGGCAGAACCCAGAATTGGCATTTTTGCACATCATGTAGTTTGTCCTTGGCCCACTGATCAAGTCTGTCCAGGTCGCTCTGTAGAGCCTTCCTGCTCTTGAGCAGATCAGCACTTGTGGCCAACTTGGTTCATCTGCAAGCTAACTAAGGGTCCTCTCAATCCCCACATCCAGATCATCAGTAAAGATGTTGAACAGGACCAAGCCCAGAACTGAGCCCTGGGGAGCACTGGTAGAGGTGAGTATACAGACAATACCTATGTCATTGAGTATTGTCTGTATGCTCTTAAACAGTTAATGTCTCCATAATTTCTCCTGCGCTGCGCAGTAACATACTTCTATGTCAGCTGCTTGTGTTTTGTGGAATCTGTATCTATTTCTTCAATGCGAAATTTAAAAATGATGAGCAGTGGGTCTGCTGAATGTATTAGATACTGCTTGTAGACTACACATACTATATATTATAGATCTTACAGCATGGAGGTCTTCTTGCCTTAGTGAAATATAAGCTTTTTTTTTAAAGGTACCTTTAGTAAATCTATGTTTTTCAATAAACAGTTCATTATGCTTTATAAAAGTAGAGACAGAGGAAACGCATTGTTTCATGTGAATTACCAGCAGTTATAGGGGTTCTCTGATTAAATCAACAGTAAATGTGGATTCCTACAAGCAACAGGCAGACCAGAGAAAAGAAAATTCTCAGATCTTAGCTGAAATCGCTGCTAACCACAGTTAATATGTGTTGTTTCAGAGATATAAGATTTACACACAATTAAGTTATTGGACATGTTGTTCAAGAGAAATGTTATACATGTACGCATATATGCTATATATAATACAAGATGAAATGTTGGAAGCTTAAATAGTTATAAAAAACTTATAGGTCATTAAATAGTTAATAAAAAGAACTTAATGTCTAAGTTATTATATGTATGTAAAATAATATGTCTATAACATAGTATAGGAAAAAAGCAGTGTAAAAGAATGTGAGCCTCAAGATCTATCTAGGGTAAATTTCATAAATTAATTCTGCACATGTTCTTATCAGCAGCATGTTCCTTGTGTCATGGTACAACTCTTCTGAAGTAACTGCTTTCTTAATAGCATATTTCAGCTTGTCTCAAAGTGAAAAAACACTTCTGGCATATTGTGACAAAAAGCGTCAGTCAGAAATTACGTTGTCATTGTTTTAGGTACTGCAGAAACATGGTGTGCAAGGACAGAGCCTTTTCAAATACCTTACAGACACAGATAGGACACCACAGGTTAAGACTGAAAGATGAGCAGAATGGAATATATGTTGTATTTGGAGTGATTATTGGTAGTTACTTCAGCCCAGAAGTTTGAAGATGGGTGATGAACTACCTGTGTTCATTATAGTAGAGAGTTTAAGGAGATTACTGAGGAAATAAGCATGGATGCTTATTTACAAAATTGACTGTGCCTGATTTGAGACAGTAACTGCTATTTCAATATGGAATGAATAAAATAAGAGGCCTAAAAGGCTAGAAATAATCACAGTAACTCACGTTTCTCGCAAGAAAGATGGAGAAGACAAAGGGGATTTGTTCTATATAATTGGTAAAAAACCAAACTTGGTTGCAAAAATATGTTGGATTTTTTCATCATTTGACAAGAAGCTGGAGTAGTATGGCTTACAGCACCAGTAATTAAAAAAAATAACTAAAAGTAAGCATGTCACTGTTCTGTGACATTGTATAAAGTTTTGACTTTTCTAATAAGCATGGTGAACTCTTTTGTTCATAATTTGAAATGCCTAATACAGTCTAGTCAGACTTACTTCCATATATTTTCAGTTTTTCAAAACTGTTCTTTTAATGCAGATTGTGAGGACATTGTGCCTGTTTCTCACACCATCTGAGCGGAAGTGTTCCAGACTGTGTAGAAGTGAATCCCCTTTCAAATATGAGTCAGGACTTTTTGTTCAAGGCTTACTCAAGGTAAGTATCCTTAGGAAAGCTCTGTTCTTCTGTAGTTTAAGAACATTCTTCAGTATATGTTTTTGCATATGATAGAAACACATGTACACACATTCACATTAAAAAAAAAAAGTCATCTTTCTTTTCTGGCACTGAAACTTTCCTTGTAATTATCTTCATGGTAAAATTCCAAGCCAGTCTTTTCTGTGACACATCTTTTTCTTGAGGGTTGTTCAGGATTGTTCCTGTACTTTGAGATACAATAATAATACACTTTTGTCTGCTTGGGGCTAGAATTCCAAAAGGCATTAAAGTTTTTGTGTTTTAACAAAACCAAGAAAGTCACATCAGGCCTGGAGTTTCCAAGTATTTTAAACAGTCTGTAGCAATGGGTGAAGATGAATAGAAAAATAATGCCTCGTGAACTTACCAGATGGCTAGAATACTGTAATGCTGATGGGCTCACAAACCAGGTGATGCAATGCACTAATACACGGGTCACCTCAGTACCTGTCTTCACTTCTTGTTGAGGAAATGATCCAGTATTGAGGGTTTATTACTACAATACAACCATCAGTTGCCCCAAACAAAATACACTTAAACAAATGTTATAAATGTTAGGTGTAAAATGTAGGTTATAAAATTGTCTTGGTTTAATTTGAATTTCCTGGCCAACGCACCAATAATGTTATAGTTTTGATTTGCCAATTTAAATATACTCGTTTTCTGTTGTGAGACAGAACCAGGAGCAAAAGCAAGGCAGGCTTAAAACTTAAAAGGGTATAAAAAGAAATTTATTAACTACACGAAGAAAAAGAAAACAATAAGTTCAGAATAAGATCTTCAGCCCACTCCGTCCTCCCTCTCTCAACCTTCTTAACAACAAAACAGACATACAAAAACTACTTCAGTTAGTTCCCGACTTAAATAGTCCTTTTCAATTCACTTTGGAGAGAGAAGTTTCCTCTTGTCAGGCCATGGGGACTTCTCCACAAGGAGGGAAAAGAACAGTTCTCTCATGGGTTCACTTTCACGATTCGCATCCGCCCGAGAAAAACTTGCAAAATCATGAAGCTTCTTCCATTTTCACAGCTTTCCCAAAGCTGTGCTTATGGGCCATGTTAAACTCGTGGGATATTTCCTTTTAAGAATGAACTGTTCCAAAACAAAAATTCTCTTCGTCTTTTTTTCTCTCTGTTCATGCTTCATCTCCAGAAAAAGAGATCCCCTTTTCTCCTTGAGGCAGAGGATTCGTAACACGGGTGCTTTTGGTCAATAATTTATCAAATGGAACACTCCAACCCCCCATGTCTTTCTCCATGGTTTATAGCAATATTCAGTGCAGTACAGTCCACCGTACAGCTCACAAAAGGATTTTCAGCCGTCTTCACAGCATTCATCATCCTTCCACCTAAAGAAACTTACCTCTTGCTTCACTGACTTTGGATTATCTCCTTTTTTCTGTCTCATTCAAAGGAAGGTCGGAAGTCTGCAAGTCTTATCCAAGCACTAAAGGGTTACAGTTCTGCACAGAAGTCACAGGGGCTGGGCCAGGCCCGTGCAGGGTGAGGGGCAGCTGAGGTGTCAGTCAGACTTTCTGGGGCTCAGCTGCAGCCCCACACTGCTCATGGTCACCCCTGCTTCCCAGACAGGGCCCGTCTGCCTCCCCCCGGCCATGCAGGGGCTGGGTGGGCTCGGCCCCTCCGAAGCTGCTCTGAGCCAGCAGCAGGAGCGGGGGCCCCCAGAGCCACGGGCCCACGGAGGAGGAAACAGGACTAAGGTTTTATCAACGAGCCTTTCCTCCCCCCGGCCATCGGGTCTCCTGATTTGCAGACAGGGCCCAAGTGGCTTCGCAACCCCCCCCCCCACCCCACATGGGAGGGAGCTCGGGTCGATGTTACCTGCTCAGCCACCGGAAATAAAAGAGAGCTTTTTCCCGGGTTACCTCCTTCAAAATGTGTTTTCACGGAGTGAACTGACTTTCTCCATTTGGTTCCTCTGGCTGTCAGTAACCAAACCAGCCTTCAATTAGTCCCATCAACTCACAGAGGAGGTTCTCATAGAGAAAACCTCTCTGACTCTGCCCTCCCCCAGGTACAACCAGCACAAAAATGTAGGCAGGTTGTTTTAATGTTGTTTTGTCCTAGTACAGCTTTGTGTTTTTAACAAAAATAGGTTGGTTTTTTTTCCACTAAAACAGGATGCAACCGGAAGCTTTGTGTTGCCCTTCCGTCAAGTAATGTATGCCCCATACCCTACTACACATATAGATGTGGATGTCAATACAGTGAAGCAGATGCCCCCTTGTCATGAACACATCTATAACCAACGACGATACATGAGATCTGAGCTGACAGCATTTTGGAGAGCTAATTCAGATGAAGAAATGTCCCAAGATCATATTATCCACACAGATGAAAGTTTCACACCTGATTTGTATGTATTCTTCTCACATAATTACTTGCTTTGGGATAAGAGTGTAAAGTACAGAGCCTACTTGTAAATAAAATACATACTTCTTAAAAACAAAAAAACTTCTTCTGTTCTCACAGTTACACTTATTTTTGGCAGCATTTGCCAGGACCTTCAGTAGTTTGATTACATCAAATATTATTGAAATTAATTTTCAGCAATAATTCTGACTATGTCATGTTAATTTTATTGCCTCTTTTAATTAGGGGTGTAATAGAGCTAAGTGTATTTCACAGAGTCTAGTGGCTTTCCTAGATTTAGTTCATTTCATCTGAGTGCTTTAAAATTCTGTGTTATCTTTAAAAATACCAGAATTATAATTCACTACAATTTTAAATTCGCCTTTAATTTCAACCAACCTATCAACAGTAATGCTACTGCTGTGCTCAGCTCCTAGGTTAATTTCCCTTACTGGCATTAACTCACGCATTTGTTTGTTTTCTTTTCTATAGAAATGTTTTTCAAGATATTGTGCATAGAGATACATTAGTAAAAGCCTTCCTGGATCAGGTAATTTTTGTTTTTTTCAGAAAAAAAAGAAACACAATTCAGTACTTTGACCCCTAGTAGCAGATAATTTAATACAAATACATCAGTTAATGGTTTGGTAGCTCTTCTTCATACTACTGCTATGATTCTTCTCTACATAAGTGGAAAGAAAAATATTGATATAAAACTGAAGCTCCTGCTTAAGTGTGAAGAGCAAGGGACATTTTCTATTGGTGTGCAACAGTGCCTACAGTTACAATATTGAAAAAACTGCCTGACTGGGAGTAATTTCCTATAATTATCCAAACAGAATTGTAATACAGCTTCATTTCTTGTATCTGAGCAGATAGAAAACAGAAAGCTATGTATAAATCTGCTGTTACTTGCCTGCTTTGCTATAATTAAGGGTATGTTACATCTATATACGTTTCTCTATTTTCCAGATTCCTGAAATGTTTCTTGAATTTCCATGTCTACCTAATATTCTTAATTTTTAACAGATCTTTCATCTGAAGCCTGGCTTGTCTCTAAGGAATACTTTCCTTGCACAATTTCTGCTAGTCCTTCACAGGAAAGCCTTAACTTTAATAAAGTACATAGAGGATGACACGTAAGTTAACAGATAATGGAAAACGGATTTAGAAAGACTTCTTCTGTTCTTTTTTTAAACACGTTTTTATTTCCTTGCAGGCAAAAAGGCAAAAAGCCTTTTAAGTCTCTTCGTAGCTTAAAGACAGATCTTGACTTGACAGCAGAGGGCGATCTTAACATAATAATGGCTTTGGCGGAGAAGATTAAACCCGGTCTACACTCCTTTATCTTTGGGAGGCCGTTCTACACTAGTGTACAAGAACGTGACATGCTCATGACGTTTTGAAGTCTTCCTTGCATCTGATATTGCAGTCCTGTAGAGCACATAATCTGTCGGTGTGACCATCACACTGGTGACAAGCATTGAGGACTGAGGGTGAAGCATGAAGAACACAGTAACATTGAGGTCTGTCTCCAAGCAGTAGGGGTGTTGTTAGAGGGAATTTCAGCTTAGCTAGATAAGCATGATTTTAATTAATTGATATCTTCTGTGTGTTTTTTAACTGTAAATGTTACCAGAGGTTCCTTGGTCATATTGGCTCAGTGGATAAATGTGAATATATTTTGGTGTATGATAAAAGGAAGCATTTTAATTTTTATTGCCCAGAGACTTCTTTCAGGTGTGTGTCAGATTTTTCCTGTTCTGCTGTGTCAGTATTTTCAGTGTTTCCATAGAAAATAGTACATATTCCTTTCTAACTGTGGAGGTTGCAGAAAAGGCGGCTTCCAAGGGTTTCAGAGTTTTTAAAACTGTTGTTATTATGTCTGTGGTGCAAATCTTAAATACGACTTTTACTTATCTGCCTCTTTTAAAACTACTGTCTCCTTCCTTTAGAGCATTTAAACATATTTGGAATTTTTAATATACTACAAAGTGCTATTTCTGGGTGCAGACCGTTGATTATTTGCAGCTTAAATAGCAGTACATTGCACATGGGAATTAGGTCATTATTCAAGCAGCTTTGTGCATGTAGGTGCCAAGCAGGATACTCTTGTCATATATTTCTGGCCTATTCTTTATGGAGTGGTCAGTGATCAGCTAATTTAGGTCTTTCAAAACATAAAACAGAAGACTTGTGTCATTCCACAGCAGTTGTCAGTCTTTCTGTGTGTAAACTACCACTGGTATTTGCGCTATCAGTGATGTGAAAGAAAGTGAAAGAACTGCATAGATTGGAGAAGCCATGGTCACTTTATTGCTTACCTTGTTTATAACTCTCCTTTGTAAATAGGTTTCTGTTTTTCAAGATAGCTTTTTAGTATTATTTTCATACAGTTTGACAGAAAAGTTAGAAGTTAGATTGAAAACTTGTCCTGAAATGTCTAATACTCAGGTTTTAAAAGAAATACTATCCTTTATTTAGATGCTCAAAATTCCCTTACGTTTCTTGAAAGACAAAGATTCTCAGTCAAATGTTCTGAGACTCTAAAAGATGTGAAATCTGCACACCATTTTTGTGAGTTTGCATCATCAGTGTTACCTGGTTGCAAAAGAACTGACATTTTGTGCAGCCATCTTTTTGCTGTACATGTTTATAGAACTCTTGCAGTAAGCTTGGTGATTCGTCAAAGGAACTTGTCAGAATTACGTAAGTTACTTGTACTGCAATTCTGTTTGTCATTCTGCCACTACTGTTCCTTTCTGCGTTTTCAATCAAGACATTAGAGCTTAAGTGAATGTATTTAAGTTGTTACTCTCATGTCTAAATAGTGAAAGAAATGTAATAAACACTGCCAAAACTTGTAATGTGGAAGATGTGTCAAAATATAAGACCTTTAAATCTGCTGCTGAAATTAATCTTTTCAGCTTGATAAGCATTGGAAACTCAACACTGACACTACTAACAGTGAAGCTTTTGTCTACTGAAGATTCTGTTACTTTTTGAAGTTACTAAAACTGGAAATTCATTTTCTACTTTTGTTGCACAGCTGTCACAAGTGCAGAATGTATAGTGAAGTACATTGTTAAATGTATCTGCATGTTGTGTTGTAAATCTAGCTCAGCAAACAACATAATAAAATTCATGCACAATATTTGGACTTCAGTTGTTGCTGATTTTTTTCACAGAATTTCTTCTCTATATCTAAAAGCATTTTTATCTTTTATGCTTTGAAATAAAGAAGAAACTTTGCTTCCTTCTTGTTAAGTTATGTTTGGATGCTGCTGTCACTGATGAAAGTCACATATTCAGTTCCTTCATTTCTGTTAAGGACTTAGTCATTTCAGGCTGAAACTGGTGGGACTTGCTATGCCTTTGATGTACTCAATTACGAATTTTAAAAATCTTTAATTCCATAGGTAAGGGATTAGGAATGTTTTACCTAGCAATCAGTGAATACCTTTCTTCAGGACTTCATTTCTTTATATTTAAAAGAAAATGGCAAATTTATTTCTTTCAACTAAATTTGAAAAGGATGTAGTGTTTTTAAGCATTTTTAGTAGCACATTTTTCCTGGTCTTTGCACACCTGAAAAGGTAGCACAGAAAGATATCCACTGGAATGTCTTACTTGTTAGGACAAGAGGATATTGTTAGGATATTAGAGGATATTGTTAGAGGATATTCCCGATCTATATACCAGTATGTTGTAATGTCAGTTTTATTCTAGAGCAGGATAGGCATTTGGGTGATGTACTTACTCTAAGACAGCAGTTTGTTGCACCAATACAAAATGCCAGGACTTCTGCACACCGTTCTGTACTGGCAAAAGATATTAGAAGGCTTTCTCTTCCTGTTCTCAGACATGTGAGCACAAAGGAATGTGATTCAGAACATGAGGACAAACAGGCATGGTGCTCGCCTCTGTTGCCTAATCGGGGCCTACAAAGCAAGTACTTTGTCCTCTTCAGCAGGGAGGAGGCCCAAACTGTACTCATTAGTATGCAGAGTAGGCTTTTGCACAAGAGTAGAACGTGCTTGTCTGGTTTACCTGTGTCCTGACATAGAGCTCCTGTTACACTTCCTACTTGGGCAAAACACTATGGAAGCTCCAGGGCAGCATGTCCTTATTTGCAAGGTTGTTCACATGATATTTCAGTTATAGGAAGTAATTGTCTCAAAGCCATGCTGTTCATATGCATGTCCAAAAGTTTCAAACACAGAAGACTTTCAATTAAAGTTCAGAAGTATGAAATAAAAGATGCATTCCTGACAACAGCCATCATGTAAATCTGACTTCAATTCTAAATAAAATAATACAGTACCCTGCATTGCTTGATTAACATTGCTTGATTAGCACTAGGCAGTTTTAAAAAGCAAAATAACAGAGAAAAGAGAAATTTCTTAACATAGAATGGCAACTGGTAATTGTTCTTTTCTCTTAGATACTTCTATCTTTATTGTCACATGGATGGAGGAGGCCTTTGACAACTGAAAAAGGGCGAAAAGACTGAGGAAATGCAGGTTGACCAGTTTTACTCAGGTATCAACAAAATCATGCCATGTGTCCTCTTAGACCTTGTGTCTTACCACATGAGGGAGGAGAAGGTGATTGGGAGTTACCAGCACAGACTAACAAAGTGAATAATGCTTCATCCACCTCATTATATGTTGTGATAAAATGACTGGATTTGAGGATGTGGAGAATGGGATGTAACAGACTGATTTCAGCAAGGCTTCCAGTGCTCTCCCACAATCTCCCTGTAGCCAAGCTGGTGCTAGTGTGGGAGTGTGTGCCCCCCAGGAGCAGTATATACCTGGTTGGGTGTTTGGGCTTAGATGTGATGGCCACTGAGTCATATCTGACTGGAGGCTGGTGCCCTCTGGGATCCCGAAGGGTCTCTCCCTGGAGTTTGTCTTGTGCCCTGCCTCTATCCGTGACCTGAGAAGGTGACCAAGGCCTTCAGGTTTGCAGGTGACGCCAAATCGGGGATCACTGTTCAACATGCACAAGGGCAGGGCAGCTGTCCATAGGGACCATGGTGGGTAGAGGGAAAGGATGGGTTCCCCATATCCTTGGGACAGCCAAAAAGGGCAGCCCTGCCCTGGGCATGCAGAGCCCTGGAAGTCATGCCTGTAAGACCATGGGCAGCTCTGGACAGAAAGGCCCTGGGTTCTGGTGAGCGGGGCAGAACCAGAGGGGCTGGAGATAAGGAAAGCTTATGGCCCAGGAGGACAGCTGGACAGTAGGGATGCACTCAGAGAGATGGTGTTGTTTCTCTACCTGGAGGGTTTCCAGGCTCCACAAGATAACATCCTGAGCCCTGGTCTGACCGCAGGGCTGAGCCTGCTCTGAGCAGGAAAAGGAATGGAGACCCTCTGAGGTCCTTACGAGCACAAGTGTCCTGTGGTGCTATGGTCTGGCAGGCAGGCTGCAGCCAATGTTCCTTAGGCCAGAGAAAAAAGGTGAGCAGTGATTTCTGGAGGGTGAGGGTCCAAGCCCCTGTTTGGACCAGGCCAACTCCTGTCAGTGTTGTTCATAGAATTGTCTGGTCTGTTCTGACCAGAACTTCATTCCAAATTGAGGTGGCCATGGGTCCACCAGTAAAACTGGAGGCATACTAGTACGTAAGTCCCAAAAAGAAAAGTATAGGTATCAGGTATACTTTTTGTATAGGGTCTAGTGCACATGTTAAAAATTAATGCAGCGTGTCCTCTAATTGAAAGATGGGGATTAATCAGAACTTTTTGTAGAAACATCTCTCTATAGCAAGGAAACAAAGACTTAATATAGAGAAATGTACACATCTAAGCAAGGGTGAATAAGTAAAATTAATTAAGATATTTTTGGCTGAATTTCAAAGTAGAAGTGTGATTCTCTAAGGCAAACATTTGAAGCTTCATCTCTAATCTGTATCTAACAAAAAGCCAAAATGTTTGAAAATGTACAACAGCCAAAACCTAATGGATGAAACTTTGTATTCAATGACAGTCTTTTCATTTATAAAATGGTCTCATTGCTATAATGGTATCATATGAGGTTTAGGCAAACCTCCTGGTGCCTCTTGGGCGCCCACACTGCCAGGTTATGTTCTTCTTTAAAAAGCCAAGCAAGTTAATAGTTGCTATAAAGTTATTTATTGCAGAAGCACATCAGTCTCAAAGGCAAAAACAAAGCAAAGCAATGGCATAAAGCAATGGCAAAACTGCAGTGGCAAAATGCAATGGCGAAATGCACATGGCATAAAGCCATGGCATAGAGACCCAGCTCTCCCTAATGCATGTTATTTTATAGAAACTTTCCAACTAGCTAAGACACAAACTCGGACCACTACTTCTTAACCTATTAGAATTCTAGTTTCTTAGCACACCAGGTGTCTTGGTTTAATTTTGACTTTCCCGGCCAATGCACTAAATTAATGTTTTTGTTTTGAGTTGCCAATTTAAATAAACTTATTTTTCCTGTTGTGAGACAGAACCAGGAGCAAAAGCAAGGCAGGCCTAAAACTTGAGAGAGTATAAAAGAAAATTTATTAACTACACAAACAAAAAGAAAGGAAAAAAAAATTCAGAATAAGATTTTTCAGATCACTCCTTTCCTCCCTCTCCCAATCTTCATAACAGCAAAACAAACATATAACAAATACTTCGGTCAGTCCCCAGTTAAGTCTTTCTCAGTTCACTTCTGGAGAGAGAAGCCTCTTCTTGTTGAAGTTGTAGAGATTTTTCCCACAAGAAGGAAAAAGACAGTTCTCTTGGGGTTTTATCTTTTACGATTTGCATCCGCCCGGAAACCTGCAACCGTGACACTCCTCCCAACTCTACAGCCGTCCCAAAGTTGTAGATGTGGGCCATGTCTGTCTCATGGGGTATTACTTTTAAGAATGAAGTGTTCGACAGCAAAGATTCTTTCTGTCTTCTTTCTTTTTGCTCAGGCTTCATCTTCAGAAAACTGAAATCCCCTTCTTTCAGGGCAGAAATTCTTAACACAGGTGCTCTTTGGTCAAATCATCTATTAAATGGAACATTTCCATCCTGCCATGTCTTTCCATGGTTTATAGGAATATTCAGTACATCAGTTCATCCCTACAATTTTACAAAAAAATTTTCAGCCATTTCAACATCTTCTCATTCTCCTTCCATCTTAAAAACTTAGCTTTTACATCACTGACTTCAGAAATCTTCTTATTCCTTTTCATATTCAAAGAAAAGGCTGGAGGCTTTGCAAATTTTATCTGAACACTAAAGAGTTGGCCT